GGCCCTGAAGGATTGCCTGAAACAGTATGCGAACCTTTCAGAGGCCGCAGTGAATTGGAACAAAAGTGTCTACTTTCTGCCGAATAGATACAGCCTGGAGGTAGAATGGGGAATGAAAAGAGTTACCGAAGGTACCTCAGAAAGGTATTTGGGGGTGCAGGTTACTTTGGGCAGATGTGTAGACGCCCAAAACGATCTGTTACAACAAAAAGTCATCCGTCGCATCGCCATCTGGGGCCCAGCGATGCACTTGTCACTTTTTGGCAGAGCTCTCGTTTTGAACGTAGCCTTATTTGCTCTTCTTTGGTTCGTAGGTGCAGTCAGGGAACTGGGTAAACAGATGCTCAAAATTGTCAGGCGAGTTGCTGCAAAATTTCTCTGGAAACCGTTTGGTAAGGAGGACGCTGGCTTTATCTCAAAGGTAGCCTGGGACCTTGCTCAGAAGGCGGCCTGGGTCTGCTTGACCCAGGCCGCCAAAACGCAGCCCTTTTGTCAAAATGGGTAGTAAAGGCTGCAGCCAGAGTCACCGAGGATCATTGGATCCTCTTGGCGGAACAGATGCTGGCAGAGGACTGGAATCTCCCAAGACGTCCAGACGTCTGGACATGCTGCATGCTGGACTCGTTCACTCGCAGGAAAACCAGGTCTGTATTCTGGAGCGGTGTTCTGAAAGCGTGGAGGAGAGTGGGGCCAAAGACCTGGGTCCCACCAGTAACAAAACAAGAAGTGCTGTCCCAACCTCTCTTCGAAAACCCGACAATCCGATCCCCAGAAGGAAGAACGTTTGCTGCTAGCAGCTCTCCAGAAGCCTTTCGCAGACAGTGGGCAGAAAGAGGAATTTTGAGAGTAGCAGACCTCTGGGATGAAATCACCGGGCAGTGGCTCCCGGCCCCCACCCTGAAGGGGAAACTGGGGCGCCTGGGACAAGTGGAAGAAAGGTACTCTCAGTTGCTGAATGCTATTCCCCCAGAATGGCACTCCCTGCTCAGCCCCACGGGGGTTGACCCCCTGGGAACCTGGTTCACAGAAGAATCAGCACCTGCTCCGCCAATCCGGTTTTGGAAACTTGTGTCCTTCAAGGAGGATGGTACAAGACTCTTCCAAGCTTGGGACAAATCGGTCACGTCCCCCACCCTGCACTGCAGGGAGGAAGGCTCCTCCCCCACTCAAGTGGGCCCTGCACCTGGCAGGTTAACTCAGGTCAGAGTAAAGGAAGTGTGTGATGAGCACGGCACATGGACGTGCACTATATGGGCAAATGGGACCCCCACCCGGCTACTCAAGATAACTACTGATATTACACGTTGCTGGGAGCAACTACATTCAGCACCAATGCCCAGAGCGGCGGCCCTGCTCTGGCTTCTCTCCCTGTTGGTCACCCCGTCTGCAGTGTGGCTCACGGAAAGGGGCATGAAGGTGCAGCTGCAGTGTGGCCGGTGCAGATGGCTCTTCGAATCAACCTCCCATCTGTGGCTATCCTGTCCACTATCTCGTCGGATCTGGGATTGGTGGCGCACACATTGGGACAGTATCAGCGGATCTATCTTTCAATGGGATGACAAATGGGTCCTACTGGGTGGAATCCCAGAAGACCTCACCCCGCACAAAGGCTGGGGCTATGTGGCCCAGGCATTGAGGGCCTGTCTGTTCATTGTTATTTGGGAAGTCGGGAACAAGAACGTGTTCGAGGGCAGATTTCTGGCGGACACAGAGGTAAAGGCAAGGATCAAGACTCACATCAGGCAAGTCATCAAAGCGGATTGGAGGAGGAAAGTCCTCAGACCCCACTCAAGGACATCGGGATTGGTTTGGTTTGAATCCTCATGGGCCCTGGGAGGGAACTTGGCAAGAATTGAAGATGGAAATTTGACTCTGGATCAATGGTTGATGGATGAATAGCCAGAACCTGGACACTCGGTTTTAAGTCCACAGTAGGACGGCAGTTGGAAGAGGTTGCGGGGTCAGGAGGGAGTGTCGCTAGTAATCAGGAACTAGTTTAAGTTCCTCCCTCCCGCTGTTTAGGGAGGTAGGGCTCGAATAGTGTCTCGAGGAGACATAGGCAGGAGACTGTCGTGGCGGGGGGTTGCGGACCCTCCGGGTTTCTTGGTTTCTTGAGTTCTTTTTGTGTTCTGCTCTTGTCTTGTCGCAAGTTGCTGTGTTTTCAGGGGGTTGGTCCCCTGCAGGGTAAATCCCTGTAAGCGAAACTGGGTAACGCTCCCAGAGAATTCTCTCTCATTCCGGGTAGACTGTGAGGACCCCGGCCTCGAGATCACCATTTGCAATATGAGCCTTGGGCACTGGGCCCGTATTTAAAGGGAAAAAAGAAAAAAAAAAAGAACACACCGTCAGTGCTCATCAGCCGTTTTCTTCTTTTCCTTCCTTTCAGTGGTATACTCTTGCTCTGAGTCCATGCCAAGCTTCTCGTTTTTGACGGAAAAAAAATCGACCACACCTCTGTTTATGCGTGCCATCTTTTTTTTTTTTTTTATAATAAATGCGTGTCATCCTTGCGCAAGGGCCATCCTAATCTTCTCATACCGTTCGTTCCAACTGAGACGGGCGTCCCATGGACACACCAGTCCTTTTGAAGTTTCCCCTTTCTTTCCTTTTTTGTGGGTGGGGCGCGCGGGAAGGAGAGGGTGGGGGGGGAGGGGGTGCGGCGAGGCGGGGCTAATGCCGAAACAGTTCTCTTTTCTAAATTCAGGGCAATGTCCCACTAGCAACGAGGATTGGATTAAGCGCCTGCATCTAGCTGTGTTTATGCAGCGATGCAGAAAAGCACTTCAATCTCGGTTTTCTGCACCTCTCCACAACCGACGTCCAGATTCAGGCGTCCAATCCAATCCCTTTCGCTAGTGGGATCTCGCCCTTATTGTCATCGGAAGCGGCCTTAGGACTCTGCTTGCAGCCCGCCGCCGCCGCATTAGGACTCTGCTTGTCGAACCCACTAGCTGTCGCACAGCCAACATAGCTGCACAGCCAACATAGTCGAGGTATTTGCACAATCGCATCTGTCGCACAGCATCGTCACAAATAGAACTGCCCGGTAAACCGTAGGCAGAGAGAGAGAAGAGGACAACAAACGAGGGGCTGTGACAACGATATATATTGTCACATGATATATATATATCGTCACAAATAGAACTGCCCGGTAAACCGTAGGCAGAGAGAGAGAAGAGGACAACAAACGAGGGGCACGTCACAAACAGATAAATACATATATATCGTCACAAGAATATCAGAACGCAAATGCGAAAAAAAAACAAAAAAAAAACAAAAAAAGAAAAAAAGAAAAAAAGAAAGAAAAACAGGAAAAAATGAATTCAGTTTTTTATCTTCTTCCTTATATATATATATAGGTCGAGCGGCAGTGGTCGGGCCCGTTACTAGGCGGCCATGCTGTGCCTCTAGTGCCAGCGGCGTGTCTGGAGTGTATTTTTTGGCTGTGACAGACCTTTCTTTGTTTCGTGGATGTTTTGCTGGCTTGTGATGGGGTGTGAACCGACAGTCTGT